TGCCCAGGCGGGTCTCGAACCGGCGGGCTCAGGCAATCCACTCGCCTCGGCCTCCCAAAGTGCTGGGATTACAGGCTAAGCCACCGAGCCCAGCCTGAGGTTTTTTTTTTTAATTAAACTCGTTTAAAAAAAATTATTCATACCTGGTAAGGATAGGTACCATGTCCTGCCCACTGCCATGTTCCTTTTCCCACTGCTCCAGCAGGGTAGTGAGCTCAGCTTTGGAGTCCACATGTACCACTACTGTAGTCATGGCTTGGCCTAAGGAAGCAAAACAAAAAACAAAAAACCAATAAATGAACACAGGCAAGTATAAGAGAGGGTATAAATAAATGAGCAAGCAAGGGAAATAATTAAAAAGAGAAATTTAACCTCTTGAACCCTTTAGATTTTATTTACAGTACAGTAAGAAACTCTAGATAATCGGTAAACCTAGATTCCCATGTCATGATGAGCAAGTTCTTTCACCTTTCTCAGCCTCAAGTTCCTCAACTGTCAAATGAGGCAGGAAGCTGAATCAAAATGATGATTCTAAACACTTCGAGGAACCCCTCTGATAATCAGACAAAAGTTATCATCCCTTTCTCTCATCAAAAATCCATTTAGCTAAAGCCTACATACAATACATACAATAATCCCAGATGTATATCTCTGAGGTTCAAAACTCTAAGGCTATATTTTTCAATACAAAATGAAGCAAAAACTACTCCCCAAAATATTTTGCTCTTATTAATCTTTAGGGAGAAATTCTATAAAAGATCAACAGCACATTCCCATTAGTTCTTAACAAAAGACCAAGAAATGAAGTGGATATCACTGCCAGCACGAAAGTTGAGAAGGAACAATATAAACCCATTTATCCTTCTAGCTTCCTAACCTCTCTTACAGCTTCCTTAAAGGAAAACACTGCCGGGTGCAGTGGTTCAAGCCTGTAATTCCATTACTTTGGGAGGCCTAGGCGAGAGGATTGCCTGAGCCCAGGGGTTCAAGACCAGCCTGGGCAACTTGGTGAGACCTCGTCTCTTCAAAATATCAAAAAATTAGCCGGGTATGATAATGCGTGCCTGTAGTTCTGGCTACTTGGAAGGCTGAGGCAGGAAGGATCGTCTGAGCCCAGTAGGTTGACGCTGAAGTGGCCAAGAGCATGCCACTGCACTCCAGCTTGGGCGACAGAGTAAGACTCTAACTCAAAAAAAAAAAAAAAATAAAGGAAAAAAGGAAGACAAGAGGCTGGAAGAGAGGTGGAGAAGGTTACTAAGTTGAGTGATCAGTCTAGGGACTATCCAAAAAGAATATGTAAGACCCAAATGTTTAGATGGTTTAGGGAATCAACTTCTTTGCCTGAGGAGCAAAATGTCAAATCCTGCCATGCAAAACGTATATCTTCACAGAAATAGTAACAGTTGTAGAAAGAGTTTCATACCAGAAAAGAATTCCAAGCTGATCTAAAATTACTGTTAAATCTTCTAAAAACATCTACCATAAGACCAAAAGAAATGTATGTAAAAGATACCACCAAACCTCTAGAATGTAAATATCTGTGTTTTAATAAAGTAGAGGCAATTCCAATAGTTAGTAGAAAGTGATTCATGTACCTGGGTTACCCATAATGCCAAAGGAAAACATCTGCCCCACTCCCAAAATAGAACAAATTCAAAAGGTTTCTTTTCTGCAAGAGAAGAAACCACATTTTCAGACTTTCTAACCAAAGTCACAAAGAGGAAATGCTCCAGGTGTTATTAATATGGACTTCTATCTCAACTTGAGAAAACTTAGGTTGCATCTTTTTACTGCTATCTACTAACATATAGGCTTTTTGTTAAAGTCAGGGTCTCACTCTGTCACTCAGGTTGGAATGCAGTGGCATGATCACAGTTCACTGTAGCCTCAACCTCCTGGGTTTAAGCAATCCTCCTACCTCAGGCTCCCAATTAGCTGGGACTATAGGTACATACCACCACACTCAGCTAATTTTTCTTTATTTTTGTTTTTGGTGAGACGAGGTCTCACTATGTTCCCTAGGCTGGTCTTGAACTCTCAGGTTCAAGCAATCCTCCTACCTCAGGTCTCACTATGTTCCCTAGGCTGGTCTTGAACTCTCAGGTTCAAGCAATCCTCCTACCTCAGCCTCCCAAAATACTGAGATTATAAGCATGAGTCACATGCCTGAGCTGTACTTTTTAAATAAACTTTTTATTTGGAATAATTTTAGATTTACAGAAAAGTTGCAAAGATAGTAAAGAGTTTCCATATATAAACTCACTCAGTTTGGTTTTCCCTAATGTTGCCATCTTATAATGGTACAGTGTCAAAATTAAGAAACCAACATTGTTACATTATTAACTAAGCTCCAGACTTGATTCAGATTTCTCTGTTCTGCAATCTCATCTAAAGTATTAAATTCCATGTAGTTGTCTTATCTACCTAGTGCCCTCTGGTCTATGATAGTTTGGGGGCTTTCCTTTGTGTTTTGTGACCTCGTCAATCTTGAAGAGTACTAATCAGGCAGGTAGAATGGAGCAATAATTTAACCAAATTATTCCCAATAATACAATTTTATGATAAAGTGAAAGAAACTAGAGACTGGGCAAAGTAGTAACATATGGTAACAACAAAATTAATCTCTTAAGATATGTCCTAAAAGTAAGAGAAACATGACTTTACTGGTGAATTCTACCAAACATTTAAAGAATTAACACCAAGTTTTCTCAAATTCTTCCCAAAAATACAAGAAGAAAGACACTTGCTAACATTCCAGGAAGCCAGCACTAAAGCCAAACAAAGATAACTCAAGAAAACTACAGGTCAATATCTTTTATGAATGTAGATGCAAAAATCCTCAATAAAATACCAGCAAACCAGGCTGGGCAAAGGGCTCGCATCTGTAATCCCAATACTTCAGGAGGCATAGGTGAGAAAACTGCCTGAGTTCACAGGTTCAAGACCAGCCTGGGCAACTTGGTGAGACCTCATCTCTACAATAAATCAAATAATTAGCCGGGCGTGGTGACACCTGCCTGTAGTTCCAGCTACTTGGAAGGCTGAGGTGGAAGGATCGCCTGAGCCCAGCAGATCAAAACTGCTGTGGTCATGAGCATGCCACTGCACTCCAGCCTCAATGACAGAGTGAGATTCTGACTCCAAAAAAAAAAAAAAGACAAAAAGAAGTATCAGCAAACTGAATCCAACAGCATATTAAGAAGACTATATGGCCAGGCCTGTAATCCCAGCACTTTGTGAGGCTGAGGCAGGAAGACTGCTTGAGGCCAGGAGTTCAAGTCTAGCCTGGGCAACACAGCAAGACTTCATCTACACACACACACACACACACACACACAATTAGCCAGGCATGGTGGCATGCACCTATAGTCCTAGCTACTTTGAAGGCTGAGACAGAAAGATTGCCTCAACCCAGGAGGTCAAGGCTGCAGTGAACAGTGACTGTGCCAATGAACTCCAATCTGGGCAACAGAGACCTTAACTCAAATAAACAAAGTAAGAAAGCAATTTTGGCCAGGCACAGTGGCTCACACCTATAATCCAAGCACTTTAGGAGGTGGAGGCAAGAAGATTGCCTGAGTCCAAAGGTTCAAAGCTAGCCTAGGCAACTTGATGAGACCTCATTTCTACAATAAATTTCAAAAAAATTAGTCGGGCATAGTGGTGCATGCCTGTGGTTTCAGCTACCTTGAAGGCTGAGGCAAAAGGAATGCCTGAGTCCAACAGGTCAAGGCTGTGGTGTCCATGAGTGTGACACCAACCTGGACAAGAGAATGAGACTCCTACAAAAGAGAGAGAGAAAGAAAAGAGAGAGAAAACAGAGAGACAGAAAGAAAAAAAGAAAGAAATGAAAGCAACCTATTGTACAGTTGCATCAAAAAGAATAAAATATTTAGAAGTAAATGTAATTTAAAAGGCACAAGACTTGTACACTGAAAACTACAGAACACTGCTGGAGTCAATTAAAGATGACCTGAATAAGCCAGGCTCGGCGGCTCAGCCTGTAATCCCGTGCCTTGGGAGGCTAAGGGGAGTGGATTGCCTGAGCCCGCCGGGT